CCTGTCTTTGATGGTAAGCAGGTGATGTGTGGCGTTCCGGTGACTGTTGGGAGGCCGCGCGCCGCGCCTGGCTTGCAGAATGGGGGTGGGCAGTTGGGGACACCGGGGTAACCCTCTGCGGTGTTAGGCACAGGGTCTGGGGATCGTGGATGGCAGCCTGGGAGACCCGAGATACGAGCGTGACGCAGGGCGCAGCCAGCCGCTTCGGCGCCTTGGCCCCTCCCTGTGCCGGGGAGGGCGCTCTCGGGCCTCCCTTGCGTGTGTGCGTGCGTGTGGAGCGCGGGGGCGCCGCAGTAGAAATCCCCGCATTGCGGAGCGCGGGGAAGCCGGGGCTCCCCCACTCCTCTTCTCCCTCCTCCCATCTCTCCCGCCCCTCCTCTTCCCGAGCTCCTCTCCTCCCCTTCCCTGGCCACGCAGAGCTGAGCAGGCAAAGCTGGCGCGGGAGGAGCTGGAACACCAGGCCTAGTTCCTTGTGGCTTACGTTGTATCTGTTTGTTGTGAAACCGGAGCCGGAGCTCATGTGACGTGCTCCTGCAGTGGGGCCTGTTGGGGGTGGACCTTCACCTCCCTTTCACTCCTGCCCCTCCCCTGCCCGCCACGTCCCTCCTTTCCTGAGCCCCGCCTGCTGCTGTGTTGGGGTTTTTCCAGGGTGATGACAAGCAAGATTCGGAGGCCAGGGTGGAGGCAGGCTGCTAGCTGATGAGGGCCGGTGCCCGTGTGTGAGGACCTGAGTGTCTATGTTGATGTGTTCCTAATCCCGATTCTTCCCCCAGGCACTCGTGTGTACAGCCCCCCAGAGTGGATCCGCTATCACCGCTATCATGGGCGCTCTGCCACTGTGTGGTCTCTGGGTGTACTTCTCTACGACATGGTGTGTGGGGACATTCCCTTCGAGCAGGACGAGGAGATCTTGCGTGGCAGGCTGTTTTTCCGGAGGAGGGTCTCCCCAGGTGTGTGTTGTACATCCTATGCTGGGTTGGGAACAGGGTAGTACGATTGGATTCTGACCCCTGTTGTTTTTGCAGAGTGCCAGCAGCTCATTGAGTGGTGTCTCTCCCTGCGGCCCTCAGAGAGGCCCTCACTGGACCAAATTGCTGCCCACCCCTGGATGCTGGGGACAGAGGGGAGCGTTCCAGAAAACTGTGACCTTCGGCTCTGTGCCCTGGACACTGATGACGGAGCCAGCACCACTTCTAGCAGTGAGAGCTTGTGAGGAGGAGGAGCCTGGACTCCACACTGGGAGGCTGGGCTCAGGCTAGCCAGCCCTTTCCCAGAATGAACATTCTCTGCCTGGGATGTCTCCTGCAAAAGCAGTGACCTCTGACCCCTGGTGACCTTTGCTCTTGGCACCGGGCCTGTTTCCTTTGCTTTGAGTGCCTTTTTGAACGCTGCTCCACAGGGCCTGGGTTTTCTTGAGCTCTTCTGTCCAAAGATGGCTGCGGGCTAAACAAGGTCCCGCCTGCCTTGGGTGGATACTTGAACCAGAGACCCCTGCCCTGCTGCTGCATCTTGGAGGCAGCCTTCCTGACCAACTGTGTCTGACATGGAGCACCCCTGTGGTGCCCACCTCCCACCCTCCAGTCTCATGGTGTTCGTCTGGGCATGTCTGCACAAGCAATGCAACGGTTGGGCCACTGGTGCCCATCTGCCACCCCAGGCACGAAACTTAGGTGTGCCAGGGTCTCTTATTTATGGTGTGACCACCCTGGAGGGCACCCCTGCCCTGCTGGGGCTATTTATTGTTTAATTTATTTGCTGAGGTTACTTCCTCCAAGCAGCCACCTCCTCCAGGCCCCTGGGGTATACAGGACAGTCAGGGTGGCTGTGCAGTCCACAGACCCCATCTTCCTGCACCTGGAGTAGGTCCCCAGCCCACATGTCTGTGGGAGGAAGAACTTGTACAGTGGCTAATTTAAGGGAAGCGGGGGGACCCTGCCACCCTGGGCACTCTTGCGCTGGGGGGTGGGTTTTAAATTATTGACCTTGTACAGTCTGCTTGCTGGCTCTGAAAGCTGGGGTGGGGGACAGAGTCTCAAGCCCTTAATTTATTTTAGCAGCTGTGTTTCTGTGACCCTGGTGTAAGTAGGCATCAGGGGTGGGGGTTGTTTTAAGTTCAAAAGTGTGAGATGTCTGGAAATCATATTTTTTATACAGGTATTTCAATTAAATGTTTTGGTATATAAATGGATATCCTCTGTGTATTGCACTGGGACCCAGGGTGGAGCTCTGAAAGGGGTCTGGTGGGGCTTGAGTAGCCTTCCAGGTGACTGTTGAAGCTCTGTCAACTGGGCAGTGGGGGCAGGACAGGGCCTTGTGGCTAGCCAGAGGGTCTTACCTGCCAGGGCCCCTCATCCATTTCTCTACCTAGAGAGAGAAGACTGGTCCATAGGGACCTTTGGTGGGTATGGCCTTTGCCCTTAAGAACAATAGAAGTTCTGTTTCCTGTGGGTGTGAGACATGCCTTGAAGCCTAGTGCATGTTCTGAGGGATGAGTAGAAATTCCCTAAGGGAGGTGGTGGGCTGGTAGATGAAGCAAAACAATCATCAGAGGTTTGGCCAATAGCCTTTGAATCCTGGTCTGACAGATGTGGGAGGGAGAGCCATAAGCCGTGTCTAGGTTTGAAATTGGGTCAGTGCTGGACAGTGCCTAGGCTTGTAAAGCCACTGGTTACCTTATGGCCCTAGCACTTGTTGAGCCTCAGGCAGGCAGCACAACAGTGGAAGCCTCTGGCCAGGAGATCCAGCAGGGCCTTCTGGAAAGTGAAGTGGAAGAAATAGAGCCACTAACCCTCTAGAGCAGATGGATTGGGGTATCACTGCTCCCCATCTCCAGAGAACCAACACTGAGGCTTGGAGTACCAGGCTCAGCTTCACAAAGTGAACCAGACATCTTCATAGCCTCCAGGCTCTGCAGAGATAGGGCCCCTACTTGTGACACTGGCGCCCCTTCTTGCTGGCTGACAATGCTAGGCCCACCATCTGTCTACCTGTCATCCTCTTCTGTCACCTCAAGGATACCTATCCACATTTGACCATCTACCTGACCAGCCATGGCTCCCTGCACTCTGCAGGGTCCTGAGAGCTCCATGTGTTTAGCTACCAGGTTCAGCCAGAGCATTTTGAGGAAGGAAACCCCCAGAGAGGAACTGAGTAGAACAATAGGAGTTTTCAGGCTCCTGAAGCCCTCCCACATGTATGCATCAGTGCTCCAAGAGGGTGGTGTCAGCAGAGATCAGGAGGTGAGCAAACCTCTTTCATAAGGAGGAGGATCTGCACACAAGAACAACATTTTGAGCTTGACACACACCAACACCTCTGACAGAGTCTTACTGCTCCAGGATGGGGAGCAGAGGCAGATGGCAATCATGAAGCACCAATGCCAACACATTGACTCGATGACCTTCACAGAGACCCAGGGACTGAATCAGGACAAGGGTCTGGAGGTCTGAGCTCTGCTCTGTTTTGCTCTGGGGGGCAAGTGCAGAAAATCCAGGTAATGCTGCTTCTAGACTCTCCCGAAGACCAGGGGTTACTGAGTGTGCAAAAGCTTAGGCAGGAATGCTATGGAGGTGGAACAGGTAGGTACAGGAGACAGTAAGTGGCTGCTGGCAAGTTTAAAAGATGCTGAAGCTGTGGGCACAGGTGGCCAAGGGGGTGGAGGTGGGGGACACCTGAGTACCCATTTCCGCACCCTGTCAGCTCAGTCTCTATCCCTGGAGGTTTGCTGACTGCCCACTACTAGGCTACCCACTATTGTCATTCCAGCTCCAACTCTATGTTCGGCTAGGGTGTCTGTCTAGATTTCCCTGGGGATACTGAGGGCCAGAGGGACAAGAATCTTGTGTGGACAGCAGAATAAGACCCTAGTCCCCACTACCATGCTTTTAACCAATTGGGAGAGGACCTTGTCAGGGCCCTGGGTGACCGCATAGGATTCTAGGCTGAGACTCCAATGTACTGGTTTTCCAGCACAAAGATGTCAGTCCAAGGGGTGGGGGGCTTTAACACAAGCACATAGAATCCAGATATAGGCCTGGTCTGCCTTGAGGTTTTTTTTTTTTTCGTTGTTGTTGTTGTTGTTGTGTTTTTAATCCTATCTGTGGGGCTAGGCATCATCCCACAGCAACAAGCAGAAGCCCAGGGTGTAGGGCCTGTCTGTGGGCTTTTCCTGGCATCTGAGCCACACCTACAGTGAGATTCTGAGAAGCCTCCAGGGTTCACTCCCAGATCCTGGACCGGCAGAATTCCAGAGCTGGAATGCCAGGAATGTTGCTCAGCTTTCCATCACTGTGACAAAATACCCGATAAACAAAAGTACAAAAGGTTTGTTTTGGCTTCCAGTACAAAGTACCAGAGGCCCTACTCTCTAATTATCTGTCCCATGACTTTTGGACCCATGGTGGCAAGGCAGTGAGGAGTACTAGCTCCTGTTTACTTGTGGTGGTCAGGAAACAAGACAGACAGGATGGTCCTGAGGTCCCAAAACCCCCTCAAGGGCCTGCCTCCAGTGACCTTACTTCCTCACATAGTCCTCACCTCCCAGTGGGGCCAGAGGCTGGGGATCCAGCCTTAAACAGAGGGCTTTTGGAGCCACTCCAGATCCCAACTATAGCACATGCTGTTCAGGAAGCCTGGCCTGCTGCAGTGTCTGGCTGCTCCAGACTAGTTGGTGTACAAGGTACAGTGAAAGATTCAGAGCCCACCCCACTCCTGTGCTCTCTGTCTGGTGCCCCCAACATATTGCCACACGGGCTCTGTCAGGATCTTTGTGACTCACAGGCTGCAATGGACTTCAGCCTCTGCTTTCTGGACCATGGAGAACCTGAGTGAGGTCTGGCTTCTCTCTGGGGAGAAAGTAAAGTAGTGCTTAATTCATTGTCTTAAGGTCCTGGCTATCTGGCTGTGGGTGTTCAAGCATTTTCCCCATAGAAAGGTCCCTTCTACCTTGCCTGGACAACTTCCAAGAGCGCAGCAACCCTTTGGCAGCTTGGGGCAGAGAGATGAGATGTATGCTTCCACTACGCTTGTACTGCAGGGCACACCAGCTAGCCATCTAGAACTAGCCTCCAACACCCTCCCCAGCCATCTTCCTCAGTGTGGGATGCTCTATGGAGGGCAAAGGTCAAAACCAGCTCAGGCCCCTGATATTTATAAGATGTTCTTCTGTTGAGACAGAACCCATCCACAGAGTTTAAGGCCTGGTACAATGAACTCCTCTGGACCAAGACATGTCTGTAGTTACTGGCTAGACCTGGTCCTTCCTGAGGTTGTACTGTTGGCCATGCACTATCTCTGGAGCCAGAGCAGAATGGGATCCCCCCTAGGTTCCTGCCTCCTCTAGGCTACAGCTTCCTGGGTTTCTTCCTTCTTCTCTGCCTCATGCCACTCTTCCCCCAGGAAAATTGCCAGGCTATGAGCTCCCCACTTCACTGAGGCACCTAGGCTGGTCCTCCTTAGCATCGTCTGGTGGCTCAGACAATTTTTTTTTTAATTTATTTTTATTTTTTTATTATGCTCAGACAATTTTCTATGGTTAGGTCCTTAAAGCTATACATCTTAAAACTTGCAGCCAACATGGCTGACTTAAAGATATCCTTAAGAAAAACAAAACAAAAGCAAACTAACAAAAAGATATCCTTAGGACCATTTAGTCAGGCCGGGCTTGATGGCACACGCCTTTAATCCCAGCACTCGGGAGGCAGAGGCAGAGGCAAACAGATCTCTGTGAGTTCAAAGTCAGCCTGGTCTCCATGGGGAGTGCCAGGATAGGCTCCAAAGCTACACAGAGAAACCCTGTCTCGAAAAAACAAAAACAAAAAACAAACAAACAAAAGGACCATTTAGTTAGGCTCCGAAGGCTGAACCTACATGGTACTTAGCAGCTTGTGAAGGGTGGTTGGCATGAACATCACTAGGCCCTAACTAGGTCCCAGCACGACCACTGGGAGCTCATGAGGGAGTGAAGTTTGGCCTCAAGAATGCTTTTCCTGCCCCCTTGTGGGTCTGCCTCCTCACCTCACTGGGCCCAAAGCCAGGATGACTTCTCATAAAGGGAGACTGACAGAAATGGACTCCAAGGCAGCTCCAGAAATGAAGCCCTGCTATGGCTTCAGTGCCAAATCTGTGTGACAAAAGGAAGTGATCCCTGCTCCTCCTGAGCACCCAGACCCCAGATTACAAGTGCCCTGAACAGTAGAAAAGCGGCTCTAGAGGGCTAAACCAGATGCAGCTGTGTAGTTCCTACCTAGTCCCAAAAGGCTGTCTGAGGCATAGTCTTGGTACCCCCAGACAGCCAGCAAGGATTGGCCGGGGAGAGTCGAGGGTTTGGATGCTTAACCCACTTGATTCAGTCATAAGCTTCAGTCTCTGTCTGTGGTGACCCCAAGGCCTCAGCATCTGGCAAGATAATCCAGGCCTATCAGTGGTACCCCCCGGGGGCCCCAGAAGAGAATCTGAGGAAGAGGTTGTTGGTTGCTGGCCTTGTTGGACAGAAGAGGGCTTTCCACAGAGAGCTATTGAGTAGCCAGAGTCTGGACACAGGCCTAGGAGGGTTTGGGGAGGGCAGTATAGAGAAATTGCTAGATCCAAGTCCAGGGTGAGTGACCTGGCTCCTGAGCACGGAGCAGTGCCTTAGGCAGGAGACCAGAGGACTTGCTCATCCCTGAACTCTGTCCTGGATTTCTCAGCAGTTCCAATGCTCTTTCTACAGGAACCTCTGTTGGGATGGGTACATGTGACTGCCAGACAGCCTTAGAGAAACCCTGAGTTTTGATTACACAACTGACCCACTTTTGTTGCCCTGTGGCAGGTTGTGGCAGGGGCTGCTCTTTCAGCACTGGCTATTGCCCTCTTCCTGACCAGACATCTTCAGGCAAGTGTCTCTGGGTGGCATGTATATGATCCTAGCACCTAGAGACCAGACCAGGCCAGTGGTCCAGTTTCCTTTCTGTTGCTGTGGTAGAATACTCTAACCAAAATCGCCTTAAGGGAGGAAAGGGTTTATTTGGGGGTGGGGTGGGATCCTAATATTAGAAGGGGCGGGGTAGCCAGCCAATGGTGGTGCTCACCTTTAATCCCAGCAGAGGCAGGCGGATCTCTGTGAGTTTGAGGACAGCCTGGGCTACAGAGTGAGTTCCAGGGCAGGCTCCAAAGCTACAGAGAAACTTTGTCTCGACAAAAAAAAAAAAG